CTGGTAGGACTCCTTTCATATATTTTGAATAGGAGAACAGCTTCCTGAAGAGTCAAAGTCAGTGCTAAAGGGCTGCGTGCATTAAACAGCAAACCCCGTAAGTTCGTCAGCAGTAAAAGCAAATGAATCTACCCACGTATCATTAAACGTTTGGTTTTCTTCAGAAACTTTTATTTTTTTCGATTTATCCATGGTTGGCCTACCGGGCCGGTGAGGGGGGGGAGCTCAGGGTCCGCAGATCAGCAGCGGAGGTATAGGTGTGTTTAGTGACTGATTAGCAGATAAACAGTCAAGTGCTGTGAATTGTGACAGGTCCCAAGCGCAGCTTTTAACATTCAGATGAAGGAGATAACATTGGGACAAAGAGAATCCTTTCAGCAGCTTTGGTGTAACATGGGATCCTGCAGGAAGCTTGTTTAGCAGAGGAATGTAGCGATTTACTTAACTAGCTAGCGCTGCGTTCCTGAGTGGAGCTTGGAGCAGATCAGCGGCTGTGCCGGCGCGTGTTTTGAGCGACGGAGCCGCAGCAGAGGGGTTCAAGAGCCAGGTGCAGCTCTGGAGCCATGGGTTGCCAACCCCTGCCTTAGAATCTCATTTTGGATGTTACATCTCATTCCTCCTTTGCACCAACAAGGAGAGTCTCTGAACTTCCCAGGACCATCTTTCCATAGGAGAAAGATTTCTTTAGATAGATCCCATTTCTTTAAGGGATACTGTTAAATTTAGCTAACAAATAAGTTATTTCATGGCTTGTTTGCATGCAAACCTGAACACGGTGTATTATTGAAAACATAGTAAGTCTCACCAGAACTGACATTACATCTGTTTTACAGCTGGCTGCAAACCCTTGCTATATAATGCAGCGCTTTTTTTAATTCAAGGAGCACCACAGGCTTTAATATTAACCAAAGAGTCCATTTAAGTTGCCTGATGGGCCAGATTTCAACAGCTTAGCAATTCTAATAATAATTTTTAAAGGGACTGTATGTTTTTATTCATGTAATGGGAGAAACACAATAGAATGTAAATTACTTTTTTGTAGCCTGTTTTGGCTTGCAGAGGCTGGTGGCATTTTAATATATGTGCAGTGTGAATAATGGAACAGCTTGACAGCTGGTGTTCTGGACCAGATGGTTTTCTATTGCACTCAATAAAAAAAACTCTCTGATCCCAACTGGCCTTTTTATTCCCAAATGTGTCTGATGTAAAGTAGCTGGCAGCTACGACTGTTTATGAGCGTAGTGCTGCAACTTTTATGCAGGCCTAAACCCATTGGTTTCAATAGCATCGAGCCCAGGTTTAGGCAAAGGATCAGTCTGTAAAAAACAGAATGTTGCTCAAAATTCTGACATGGGTGTTGATTTATAAAAAAGGCTCCCATGTTGTAAGGATCTAAGAATGGAAGACTGGAGCTGAAGGGCACAACTTCTACTGGATCATAGCCTGTAACAACAGATCCTCTTGGAAGAACCAAGATTTTGTATCAAACATCTGTCCCAAACATTGTAGCTGGCATGCATTATTAGGGATGTATAGCTGAATTCTGGCAGTTCATGCAGCATCCCCTTGCTCTTCTGACATGGCTTAATGACACTGAAAATATTTTGGAGCAAGGGATACCCCTATGGCAAGAGAGGTTCTAGAAATAGATGCCATGCGGCCCTGCTTTGCTTTCATCCATGGCGACCTGGGAGCCTACAGGGTGGCTGGGCACCCAATTCGGAGTATGAACCACGCTAGATATTATTTTTACCAGGGGGATGCAGCTAAAAGTAGCCCCACAGTAGCAAGTCATCCCCTCTCCCTATCATAATGACTAGCAGCATGCATGGTAGGGATTGGGGCTGTTATACTGAGAACTTACTTGTCCCTGCTTGCAGAAGGCAATGATACGGAGTTACAGGTATGGAGAAAAAATATTCTTTTTCAATTAGTGTTTGGCAGAGAAAGTGGATAACGTCAGGAGGCTGATACCAGCAGCTGCCTAATGGCAAACATAACACGCAGGCTTACTTTAAATCTGTTCAGAAAAGCCACCTCCAGTAGAGGCAAGGAGTAGCAAGGGGTGTTGGAATGGGGAGAAAGAATATCCAAAGGTTCTGGGATCAATGAAGAACAACAGAGAACATGTCAGGGCCCTGCATCCTATGAAATCCGGCCTCTGCTTGGGAAGGTTGGATAGAGTTGCTTCAAGCTTGCACAGTTTGTGTTGAAGAAATGCCATAGGATGTGAAATCCAAGGAGTCATACACTGTTTCAGCTACAGTCCAGAGAGGAAGCCTAATGGAACAGGAGGGATGGGATGGGTCAGGATGTTTTTTTTTTATTATTATTATTTTATTCCTATATTGCCTGTAGCCAAAGCTCTTTGGGTGGTTCACAGCAAGACACTATGATCATGCCTAGGAAAATCAGTTACCAGAAATAGAGACAGGGTAACTGTAAGCAATTGTATAATTATGGCTGCCAACATTTTAACAAATAAGACATTTTTTTCTGAGCTTTGACCAAAAAGGCAGCACCAGATAGGCCTGCTTTGGCACAAATAAGGAGTAAAATAATCAGAAAAGGACCTCTGTTGGGCTGAGATGGAAAACATGGAAGGCAGACTGAGTGTAAAATTAATTTTTAATTACATCAATTATTTTCTGTAAAAAAAGGAACAGTACCAATGTAAGTTTTCAAAGTATTTCCTTGTGTGTAAGAAGCAGAAGTCTTTGTTCCAAATAGATCGATCGTGCAGGTGGGCACAGCTTGCAAGCCTCTTATTCGCTGGTTACAGGAAGCTCTTGCATAGAGGCTATTTAGCTGAACTAGCAAGGCAGAGGATGTACTCTAGCTCCATCAGAAGGCTTTGTGAAAAAGAAGGTTGCTGTCCCACTGTATTTTTCCTAGTGATAAAAACAAATTGCCAGAATGAGCAGAGATTTCTTTGCCAGGATAGAAAGTCCCCAAGAGCAGGTGGCAATACAATCACATTAAACCATGGTGCAGTTAAGTATTGGATGATAATGACTAAAGGCCAGATGAAATGTCCTAGACTCTGTCCGATGACCTTAGGACTGTGCTGTAACTTTTAAAAAGTTTTAAAAGCAGCAACAGTAGTTCAACTTGAGTTTAAAAGAGATAAATATCTCTTCTAAACTAAAACATAAAAATATGTGTTTAAAAACACAATATTAAACAAGTAATTAAAAACAAAACTACTAGTGGTTAAAAGTTACTTTATAAGGCCTTTTAAAAGGTCTGAGAAAATAAAGAGGTCTTTGCCTGGAACTCAAAAGTCAACAGAATCACCCAGACTTTTCTAGGGAGGGCATTCTACAATTTGGGGACTACCAGCCAAAAGGCCTGCTCATTAGTAGCCACCTACCCAATCTCAGTACATGGGAGCATTTTGACCAGGGTCATTTGCCTATGGCTATATAGGCATGGGTAGTCATTTTGATTTTGTAGCTCCAGGCCATGAAGGGCCTCACAGGACACACCAGCACCCTCCCTGGAACTTAATTAGGAGCCAGTTTGGTTTTTTGGATATGCTATGGCTGGCAAAATTTAGGATTTAGTTAAAAAAGCAAAGTAGGTCTCATCAGCCAGAGGTCCATCATCCCCTACTGTAAATGATGACAGTGAACCAGCTATGTGCTATTACAGGTGTCTCTACCACATACTTGGATGTGTTGCAGAACCTTTTCTGCTGCTCCAGATTCAAGCAGAGTAACGGTACAACCTCCGAATCCCCCGCCGGTCATTCGGCTGCCGTAAACCCCAGGGATCTCCAAGGCAGCAGATACCAACTCATCCAATTCCAAACAGCTGACATCATAGTCATCCCTGAGAATGGGGGAAATGTGTTACTTCTGGATGTGAAGGCTGTCCTCACCAAACAAATGTGAAGCATGAAACACTCCAACAAACGTGAGGAACAAAAGCCGTGTCAACCTAGGGAGTTGAAATAGCTCACTCACCAAATATGCAGGCAACACCATACTACAGAATATGTCAGATCCCATCTTGGGGTGCATTAATAAGCATCACTTATAAGAAATGGAAGGGCAATAGCAATGGATCCAATTTACTCTTAAGTTTTTGTTGCTGCTGAAATTTAACTAATGGTTAAAAAGGAAACCATGATTACATTTAGTATCCTGCAACAAAAAGATGAGGAAACTTTTTTTTTCATTTAGACAAAATTCCTAGAAGTACATTAGACCAAGATCTTCTGCAAATGATCAAAAGACAGTCTCTCATTAGCAGGCTTGGACTTCATCCTCCTGCAGTATCCTGGTTTTCCGTATACTCATCATGTCAGTAAAAAGGGTGGCTTTGTTGTAGCAGATAGGACTATAGCTTTAAAAAACACAAACTCTTTGAAAAATACCCAAGAGATGTGCTTTCCAATGCTGGGTGGGTGGTGGGGGTGGGGTGACCTCCTTCTTTCCTTTTTTTAGATTTAAAAAGAAGCAAAAATCAGGAAAGAATAAAGCCATGCTTTAGCAGATGTAACTGCCCTTAAATAAAGCAGCAGGCTCACTAGGCTCGGGGTTGTGTTGCTCATCGTCAGTGAATGGTCCAACAGGTGCTCATGCTGCATCCATTACCACTTCCCAGGCCACACTTCAGATCAGGGCACCTTTGCACATGGTACGGCTGTGTAAGCCTGGGACTGCGGTAAGTGCATGAGGCAACTATGGACACTCTTCTCCTTGAACCATCATCTGTATGTGCTTGGTGTATTCGCCTTGCGTGGAGGGGGTTGTGGGGAGAAGTCCATTTTAAAAACCTTAGGCACACATAGAAATGTATGGCATGAAGTAATCCCCCAGCTAGAAAAACATATTGCATGTAAAATGCATACAATAAATATTTCTCTGAAACAGAGATACTCCCACTAAGCAATGATGGATCTATTTTGCTCAACAAACTATGAATCTGAAAAGCAGCATCAATTGTCTGGGATGACCTGATAACATAGCAATTTTCCCAAAATTTATTTATTTATTTATCAAAACATTTTTATGCCGCCCCATTTGCCGAAGCCGTATACAACAATACGTTAGTTCATCATAAATAAAAATTAATATACATTAAAATAAAATAAAACCAGCCATTTCCTGATAGATTACCCAACACCACAGTCACTATATGAAATTCCAGGGCTAGCAATGCTTGCAGTGGCACATGTTACAATTCCACTTCCATGGAGGTGCTGGGAACCGAAGTCGTTCATGGCTTCTTGGCATGTATACATACATCAAAGGATCAACATGTGGGAATATCCTCTGTCAGGGTCCTTCTGGATGTGCTATGCAGGGAGGTATAAGACTTTTTTCTCTAATGTGCACAGAATTGCACTTGAAATAAATAACAGTTACACAGGACTATCTACATGCTGAAATGAAAAAGAATGTGAAAATAATGTGCATGCCAGGTAAATCTCTAGCCACACTGGCATCAGAGGGCATCTCAAGGTAAGTAAGAGGCTTCTACACTTTAAACGTACATCCAGATCCTGTAATCTTATTTTAAAATGGTAATAGTATGAAAACATCCTTTGAGTAACCTTTGGGATATCAGCCTACCGTAAGGAATTGTGACTCTCCACCATTAGTTGTCCAAATCTCTTATAGTCCCCAGACTGCAGTGCTTCTGCTGCTCCAACAGTGCGCTCTATCTCTCCAATTACATGCCTGGCACGCCTGTACACCTCCTCGCTTAGGAGGGCCTGAGAGCCTGGGGACAAAGAGTGGCATTCGGTTCAGTAGGTAAATTTTCCCTGCTCAATGCCCCAGGTTTCAAGCCACACCTTTCAGGAGAAACTGTGAGTGGAAAAATAAATTCTGGCCCCATCTGCAGGGCTGTGCCTCAAGGGGCCATCAAGACTGTTAGCCCTGCCCATCTGCTCCGCTTTGCTCAGGGTATCGGAGAGATGACGTTTCATGAAAAGCGAAGGCAAAGTCCTCCCTCTTTTCTGACCAATGCTTACCCTCTAAGTCTGCCTGACTGGCTTCTCTCAGGCTTGCCTTGCCGAGGGCCTTCGCTGCCTCTTCACACTGGCGCCGGCGTGTGGGGTACTCGCTCCCTGTCAAGGTGTGCCGAACATTGGAGTTGGTGATGAGGATGACTAAATCTGGGTCCACCAAAGGTACCAGGCGAGTCTCCAGCGACCTGGAATCGGGTGGCACAGCTGAGTTGCATAAAATGGCTTCAGAGATATGAGGCTTTTACATTCACATTCTGAATGTTCAAGTGTGTGGCAGAGATGCATCTAAGAGGGTCTTTATATTTTAATTGTCCCCCAAATTCCATGAGAATATTTTCCCTGTTTTAACACTTCACAAAGGAGGGGGGTTCAGATGATCCTCCCACCCACTGAAAGAATGCATGGGGAGCAGCAGAATGACATGAATTAGCAGTCGTTAATGCCCTCTCCCACCACAGCCTTGCCCATGTATTTATTTAAGCTTCTGTATACCATCCGTTAGCCAACAAGATTTCAGAACAGTGTACACTAAAAGCCATATACAAACAGTATATCAATAAATAACTTTGATGTCAACGGCACATCTACACAGTCAACAAAATTCGAACAAACAATGATCGATAATAAATAATAGAAATACGTATCAATAATTTAATCAAACAGACCAATACAAAATCAAATACAATGGCTTCCGCTTGGCCAGCTTGCATTTCCACATGCACACAGATGTACAAGTAAAGAGAGGTGCCCTGTCTCAGCTAGGATTCAAGGAGGTCTGCACTCACACATCACTGCACATGTAAAGCTCTTTGCACGCTGCCTGAATGCAGAGATTGGGACTAGGGCAGGGGGGCTGTTGCTCTGTGCCTCAGTAGCGGGGGGGGGGGCACCGCTGCCCCACACAGCTCTCCACTTTCTTTCAGTGTGGGGTTGAAGGGTCCTCTGAAATCCCTTGCCTCCAGGAACATTTTGGGCTTCCAAGTCTTCAGTGGGAGGTCATGAGCATTCAGAAAATGTTGGACCAAGTCAGGGGAGGCGAGGGGGGCCCAGGACTGTTTCCCTCGTTGCTGTACATTTTAGCAAACCGGTCACAGAGGTAGCTCTAAGAAAAGCAGGAGGGGCTTAGCTCTTTCCTCCAGTGCTGTTTTCTGAATACCGCCCCCCCCCCCCCACATCTAACCCCAAGCTGCTATGTGCTCTTTTGGGAAAAGTGAACATAGACATGTGGACTAGGTGTAGAGGGGATTTTAATCTAGAAAATACTGTTTGGGAAAGGGTTCAGCACCACAGTCCCAATCTGAGTCAGGGGTAGAGGGCCATTGACCCATTGGCTAAAATGTACAGCTGGAGTACAGAGGCCAAATCCAGCTCACTCTGGTCCCAATCCAGTGCCCTGAATGTCCTCTCCTTCCAGGAGGCCAACTGTCTTCTCCTGATTCCACCACCTTTCCCCTAATTAGTGACCATCTGATGGTGCTTCCATCTTTTTGCAGTTTCCCACTGCCCTACAGTATAAAGCTGAAATGCCTCTCCTAAGCCTTAGTTACTGATACTAACACATTCAAGCTGGTCTTTTTTTTGTACTTTTGGCCCTGCCATCACCAGAAGGTGCACCCAAAATTTCTGCAAAGTAGAATTCGCTCATTGAAATTTAAAAGGGTCTGTGCCCCTGATAGGGAGATGCTGGGAGAACCAGTCACAGAACCCCGTCAGGCCATTTGGTTAGGCCCAAAAGAGCTGGCCCATTCATGGAAGCGTATTGTCGTGCAAGAGTACAACTGGAGGAGAGAAAGGAAATCAGGAAATGGGTTGACAGGAACGAGCAAGAAGCATCGGGTCGCCTTGAGAAAATGGATAGCTGGGGAAGTTGGAAGAACCAAAGCTGGAGGGTGGGCCAAGCTGCTTTGCAGTTCAAGCAGACAAGGGGAGCCTGCTAGGGAGCAGAACAGTGCAGGTAAGTGTCACTGTTTCCCCCTTTTCTACACCACTAATCTTGGGGGGACATCACCTCTGAAAGCAGAGACATTCAGGTAAGAAAACCCAAAGAATGGACATTAATCTTAATCCCTCCAGAAGCATGGCTAGCAGGTCTTCCAGCCTCATCCCTGCTAATCAGCTTGCTTGATGAGGATCCCAAGAGAAAGGGATTGTGCCTCAATTTACATGTTATGCTTGAGATCTCTTTGTACTTCTGACACCACGTAACAACCCTGTTGTGGCTGTGGGCTTGAGGACAGGAGAGAACCACATAACCTAAGTTGATGCTAAACTTGCTCTGCAACTCTGCATTTCAACACCAAGATCTCCCCTTTTCTACCAGCATGAAATGCCACACCTGCAACCAGAATTATGTAAATTAAGCAGAACACGTCTGTAGCTTTCCTTATACAGTGCAAAAGCATAACCTGGAAAGTCTGCTAAGTAAGGGTGGTTTACAGCAAGACCCAGAATTGGAGAATAAAAGGAAGAATGTGCAAAGGAAGAAGGTATGTGATGCTTGTTTCTACCTATCTGGACCTGAGCCTGAGTGACCCAGCCAGTGCCTGCAGAACCAGGAACACCTTGGCAGGGGCTTGCAAGAAAGAGCTGAGGAGCAAGTACGCAGTGCAGCTGGAGGCCCTGGAGACCAGCACAAAAGGCTGCACTGCACTGCTGCTCTTAGGGGCAGCAACACATCCTCTGCCCCCACCCCAGCCCCAGCCCCAGCCCCAGCCTGTTCCTGCTTCTGTCCTTGTTTGTCTGCTCTGCCCCTGATTCTCAGGCACCTGCACCCATTCCCCCGACCTCACCTTAAGGTCTTTCTGCAACTTGGCTCTTGAATTGCGTGACCTTGGACTCTCTCTGCCTGGACCTATCCTCTCACTGGCTTTTGACCCTGCCCTGTTAAACAAACATGGCTCTTACCTCTGGCCCTCTGAACCTGCTGCAGGATTCCACCCTGCGCCTGCACCCTGGTCCTGGAATCTTGACCACAGGTGCTCACTGCCCACACCCCAGACTTTACAATACCATTCAGGTTCTTTGTGAGTCCTTAGCAGCTTCCGCTCCAAAACCAATCTTCTTTGGGGAGATATACAGGCTAGTTAGAACCTGGACTGCCCCCATCCCACTCGCCAGGCCCACCCCGCAGCCAGTGCAGTGCAATGTCAGACCTATGACGCTGATCAGCAATGGACAGAGGAAGCTGCAAGAGAACTGGCAGTTGCATGTCCTGACCTGCAGTCTAACAGCAAGGCATGGCCCTCCTTCCCCATGACAGAGATGAACTGGTCCATGATACCACAAGGCATCATCGCAAAGGTGTGCTCTGCTTTCTGGCATACTAATGCCTTAGCGACTGGATCGCCATCGTCTGTGTCGAGGAAGAGAGGCATTCACAGGCAGGTTAGTACTTCTATGCAACAGAGGGAGGACTGATGGTTTTTCCATTATACTTCCATGCCCCCACCGGCCATATACCACATTTTAGCCTCCAGACCCAGGTGGAGACCAAGAGCAAGAATATAAGCCCAGCTGGATTAGACCAAAGCTCCACCTAGCCCACCATTCAGTTTCCAAAGGTGACCAGATAACTGGTCAAGAGGAGAACAGTAAGCTGTCTTTTACGAGGTCAGTTCGTCCATCCATCTAGCAGGTATTATCAGCTTTGATGGGCAGGGGCTTTCTAGGGTCGAAGGTGGAGAAAAGCTTTTTGTAGCATTTGATATCTGAACCTTTGGAGAGCTGCCAAAGGCTGAACCAGGGCCCATTTCCACACAAATACACTGTGCCCCTGAACTATGGGGGCCCTCTCAGTTCTGCTTATCTAGCATAGTTAATCAGTGGTAGAAGTCCCATATTTTTAAAAAACCCCAGGGTAAAAGCAGTTTTGATTCTTACCTGGGCAGAGCTGCTGTAAGAAGGTATATGTAGCCACCTCTAAGGATGCAGAACTTGAAAGACCACCACCAAGTGGAAGATTACTGGCTATGATTGCATCAAAGCCAGGGAGAGGGCCAGCTATTGAAAAGAAGAGAAAAGGATCTCTCAACACAAGATGGCAAAGAAACTGGGATGAGAAGCTCTTAAATGTCCCTAGGGAGATCGTGTACCACAGAAGGTCTGCTGCATCCAGAAAGCTGGGAAGAGGTTGCATTTGCACCAACGAGCAGGATGCACGGCTTCGAAGAGCTGGGTCACACAGCGCAACTGAGCAAGGCCCTCCCTTTTAAGGTTTGCCCTGACTGCCTGTCCAAAATGTAGGCTCTCCTTTCCATCTGATTACTCTTCTGATTAATTACTGAAATCTGTGATTCCGTGGCCATGCCATTGGGTCCATTTTGTCCATGCTTCCACAAGATTATATACCTGGCAATACTGAATGGAAGCATGGCTTTGATCATTGTGGCCTGCAGGATAACTAAGAGGCTCTGGAGATACAACTCAACTGTCACAGTAGATGTGGGGAGACAACTAGTGGCCCTCCAGAGACTTTGGCCTACAACTCCCATCAGCCCCAATAATTGTGAGGCATGTTGGGAACTGTCAAGCATACAGAGGGCCACAAGCTGTCCTTCCTTGTAGAGGATCAGCCTCCTGGAATTGCAACATGTCTTAAAGAGGATAAGAAGAAAAAAAACCCACATTACCGTGGTTACAACTATGTCACCTTTTCTGTACCTGGTTTGCTAGTGGCAACCAACAGAGTCTGGTTTCCATGTACAATCACAGATCAGTTTATAGTCAACATACACACCATCTTTTAAACTAGTTGTTCTTTTTGAGCAATGGAGTTAAGGATCTGGCACAGAAATACAGGCTATCACTTTAGAAGAGTCCTACGATCAGTAATGACAGATTTATTTAATTAATTTCTATGCTGCCCAACAGCTGAAGCTCTCACCACTGATGCTGAATGGTTATGGATGCACAGAACAACTGAGTTGCTCTAAGTCAGAGACCTCTAGAAAGTGAAGCCTTGGGCTTATGTGTTTTTTCTCCACTCTCCTACTCCTTCACAGGTTAAATCAACTCCAGTCAATTGCTAAGCAAGTCAACAACAGATCCTGGATAATCTTGCTGGGTTCTTTAACAGTTTATTTTAAACCACCATACGTCACAACAAACAACCACCTAGGAATTGGGGAAAATGAAACTAAATTATAGCTTATTCTTCCTCCTGCCATGAGGGAGGAGAAGGCGGCACTGGGAAGCTTGCAAGCGCGATGCTTTGTGCTTCACACAAAATCCTGGGTTAGCTCTATGTGCAAACCGGGCCTTTGACTTTCTGTCATATTCAGTGGTATAAAGGAAACAAAAACCCTTGGAGGTAGACTTGATCATATAGTCCCTCTCATCATTTTCCTAAGGCTTTAGGAACAACTTCATAATCCTTGTTTCAACAGACAGGTGTGAAATGATATGATGAATCCCCTTGAGGCATGTATGAATACCGTCTGCTCACTCCAGAGCAATGTTAGCATCTTACCAATAATAAAACAATGTATTAGAACTAGTTAAAAACAAACGGAGTATCAGTAAAACCTGTGGCTGGTTGGTCAAGGAAGACAGATTGTGCATGCTATAAATGGCCCAGAGAGCGTCTGCCACTGGGTGATATAGAAATATGGCTTCTTGAAATAAAAATGCTTTCAGGAGGCATCAAAAACACCCCTGCAAAGGCAGAGTGTTTCACAGAAAGGGGCCAACACAAGGGAGGCTCTTCTTTTTAATTAAGCTCTTATCACACCTGCCTCAACAATACGCCAGAGACACTGCTCAAATGTGTGTGGCAGGAGGTGGCTGTGTGGATGGGAGCTGAAATGGTTAAAGCTTATCTCCTATACAAGATGGTGATAGTCCCATGCCACCATAAATCCTAAACGAAGGTACTCTGAACTTGGCCATTTCCGCTCACTTGCATCCCTGACCCACCTCTCAGGTAGTCCCCGCTTCGATAGCGGATTCTGAAACATTCCACCACGTAGTAATATGGTGGATCCTTGTTTTCCGTGCCTGCCAAAGGATGCAGTAACCTCAACCCCTCACAGATGGCAGATTTTACCTTTATAATGCTGGATAACCCCCTTCACATAATTAGCCCAGCGAGGTTCTCCTGGCTTCAAGTCACCACCTTCCCTTGGAGCCTGGAACTGCACGCTTTGGGGCTCTCCCACTTCCTCCGCAGTGGTGACAATGGATATTAGTCCATCTTCCCTTGGGCTCCCGACCATCACAGTGCCCATTTGCAAGGCCTGAAGAAAGAGACAGTAACTGAATCTCCCACACAAGACTAAGTGGGCGCAAACTCTTCTGTAAGACATCTTCCAAATGGCGTATTCCATTATGGCTGGAAATGAGCACAGATAAGAGCAGAAGGGGGTAGATGAGGGGATGAAGGCCAGGGACAGGAGTGGAGATATATGAATAGAGGGATGGTTCATTCTGCCATACATTTGGTAAATAAGAATATTTCAGTGTATATAATTATACCCCAATTTCTTCAGCTTCCAACATGCATTTAATTTTTAATTTTAATTTAATTTTTTGGTTTCTTTCATTCCAAACTTTACTGTTGGTTGTTTAATATATTTAACTTTGTAATGTTTTTGATATTTTTATTGTTGTACTTACTGTTTTTTGCTGGAGAAGGCTCCTGTGAGTCCCTTGGACTGCAAGGAGATCAAAACAGTCAGTCTTAGAGGAGATCAACCCTGACTGCTCTTTAGAAGGCCAGATCCTGAAGATGAAGCTCAAATACTTTGGCCACCTAATGAGAAGGAAGGACTCCCTGGAGAAGAGCCTGATGCTGGGAATGATAGACGGCAAAAGGAGAAGGGGACAGCAGAGAATGAGGTGGCTGGATGGAGTCACTGAGGCAGTTGGTGTGAGCTTAAGTGGACTCTGGGGGATGGTGGACAGGAAGGCCTGGAGGAGTGTTGTCCATGGGGTCGCAATGGGTCAGGCGCAACTTCGCAGCTAGCAACAGCAACTTATTGTTTTGGTTGTCATATTCTTGCTATGTTGTTGGTGTCATTTTTAATCATGGCAAACTTTCCTGAGGGCATTTGCCAGTTGGAAAATAGATTAATTTGACAAATAAGTGAGTATTTATTCAAGGAAAATAATACTCACCTTGCTGAAAAACAACATTAAATCAGATTCTTGTGATTGTTTAAATTTATTCTGGCAGTGTGTGCTATGTTTAAAAATTTTAATATGTTGTAAACCATCCTGAGAGTCATTTACTAAATAGTAATGGTATAAAAATGCCTTAAATAATAAATGAAGAAATAAAATTCTCTCAAATGTAGTCCCTGGAGCCTACCCTCTCAGTCATTCCATTGACTTCTATAAAATATGAGTCTGCTGTGGCCACTGAAATCCAAGCGTCCCTATAAATGTTCTGCAATATCACTTGCAGGCACAATTAAAGACCAGTTTGAGACCCTCTGTGCTGAGGCATCAATCAGCTCTGAACACTGACCCCAAATAAACCTCATTTATTTATTCTTATGTGCTGTCAGGTTGTCCCCAACTTACGTCCACCCTATGAATGAGCACCCTCCACAATGTCCTGTCCAAGACAGCTCTGCTTAGCTGTTCTAAATTCAAGGTTGTGGCTTCCTTTATGGAGCCAATCCATCTCGCCTTTACACAGCCACTCCATTTATCTAGTTATATTAGCAATATTTACATACTGCTTCTCATTTGAAACAAATTTTATCTGGCTCTGCAATATCTGCCAACACATTCTGTTTACTCACAAATGACTTGAAGGAATGCTTTGCATTTATCAGGAGAAATTGCAAATCTCTCACTGCTGTGTCAGAACAGAACTTATTAAAAGGGCTGTCAGTTGCCATTCACATGTTTATATACCAAGGCCACAGTGCTAGGAATAATTCCATCCAGTCAGTCCCATGAAACATGGCAAGCCTTACTTTTGGGTAAAAAGGCATAGGGCTGCATGACACAAATTATACAAAATAAAGAAATAATGGGAAATTAATTTAGAATTTGATCCCTTATGATCCCACTGTAATTATCATATGAAATTATAACATTCTTCAAGTGGGAGAGAGACGGGGAAGTGCGTCCCTGTTGGTCCTCCTGGACCTCTCAGCGGCTTTCGATACCATCGACCATGGTATCCTTCTGGATAGGCTAGCGGGATTGGGAGTTGGAGGCACTGCTCTGCAGTGGTTCCACTCCTATCTCAATGACAGTTTCCAGAAGGTGGTGCTGGGGGAATATGGTTCTGCACCATGGCAGTTATGCCATGGAGTTCCGCAGGGATCCATTTTGTCCCCTTTGCTGTTTAACATCTACATGAAACTGCTGGGAGAGGTCATCAGGAGGTGTGGGCTACGGAATCCTCAGTACGCTGATGATACCCAGCTCTACCTCTCGTTTTCAACCAATCCACGTGAGGCAGTGGCCGTACTAAACCGGTGCCTGGCCGAGGTAATGGGCTGGATGAGGGCCAATAAACTGAAACTCAATCCAGACAAGACAGAGGTCCTGCTGGTGGGTGGTTTGGACTCCTGGGTAGGTGACTTGGACCTTGCACTCCCTCTAAAGGACAGGGTTCGCAGCTTGGGAGTGCTCCTCGACCCTGACCTGTCTTTGGAGGCTCAAGTGACTCCGGTGGCAAGGAGCACTTTCCTTCAGCTTCGACTAATCCATCAGCTGCGTCCCTACCTGGAGGACGATTGCCTAGCGACAGTGACACATGCATTGGTTACTTCCTGATTGGACTTCTGTAATGCGCTCTACATGGGGTTGCCCTTGAAGACAGTCTGGATAATTCAGATGGTGCAAAATAGAGCAGCCAGGTTGCTGACGGGGACTGGATGTTACTCTCACATAACCCCAGTCCTCTATCAGCTTCACTGGCTCCCCATCGAAGTCCGGGCTCAATTCAAGGTGCTGGTCATCACCTACAAAGCCTTTAATGGCTTGGAACCTGGATACCTAAAGGAACGCCTGCTTCCATATTTGCCCTCCTGCCCTCTGAGATCGGCAGCAGAGGCCCTCCTCCGGGAACCCTCTGTGAAAGACATTAGGAGACTAAGTACCCGGAGGAGGGCCTTCTCTGCGGTGGTGCCCCATCTGTGGAATGCGCTCCCCAGAGAGGTCCGCCTGGCACCGTCATTATTTGTTTTTCGGCACCAGGCCAAGTTCTTTTTATTTAAACAATATTTTAACAACTGTTAATATTATTTATTGGTTTTAATTTTACAGCCAGGGTGAATCTGGATTTTATGTGTACTATTTATATGATTTGTTCATTTATTGCATGGAAGCCATCCCGAGGCTTATGCAAATGGGACATACAAAAACTCCAAATAAATAAATACATACATACATACATACATACTTGAAAGGTTGTCACAAAGAGGAAGGCCAGGATCTCTAGATCATTTCAGAGTGCAGAACAGGAATTACAGGCTCAAGTTATAGGAAGCCAGATTCCAGCTAGATATCAGGAAAAAAAATCCTGACTGAAAGAGCAGTATGACAATAGAGCCAGTTACTCTGGGAGGCTGTGGGCTCTCCCACACTGGAGGCATCCAAGATGCAGCTGAATAGCCTTCTGAGACGAATGGTTTAACTCAGTGTCCTGCAATGAGCAATGGGATGGACCCAATGGCCCTCTGGCCCCTTCCAGCTCTACCATACAATGATATGTATTGACACATTCACACGGGAGAAATTTCATCATAAAGTGAACCCATTTTGAACATTAGCCATTGCACTGTTTTCCTTATCCAAAACATGATGATGATTAGGTTGTATCTAATTGTGTTTATCAGTAAGCAGAAATACATTACCAGCAGAATTGAGTACCTCCTCCCTCACACAGCCCCTCTGCACTCCCTGCCACAAGTCCTAAAGGACTGCAGGACCTCAAGACCAAATCTGGGGGAGAGGCAAGGAGTCAAAGACAGGAAGGGAGGGGTCCTGTTGCATGAGGTTGGCCTGCTTTATAGAAGCTCTCTAAAAATGGAGAACTATTAACTGTTGTTGTTAATAATAATATCAGCATCATCAGTCACTAATATATTGCTATCAAAGAACATGCTGTTTCACAGAGTACAAAGGGACAGGGGTACAAGAGGACTATGCAGTTTACAAACGAAAATTCAGTACAGAAGAAATAATGGAGAAATAACCCCTTCTTAGGCTTAGGCTCATCCAGACAAAGCTGGATCAGTCCGCCTCATTCCTGGGATTTTCCTGAGGGTCCAAGGCACTGTCATCCTCCATTTATAACTTTCCTATGTTTTTTCCCTTCTTGTTTTTCCTCTTCAGCCAAAAAATTGGCTGACGAGAAAAAAGACAGGCTAGGTACATCACACTTTTTGTGCGATATTACTAGGAGTAGTCTGACTAGAATCACCCTTACTAAGAGGCCCGATTACAATAGGTCAAAACTGGGGTGGGATGCAACCCCCCCCGCATACGCAGAAGTTGCCCACCCCTGAGCTTAATTCTAACAAGGAAGTGGAACCTAAGACCCAAAGACACAAGCAAACGAATTAATTATACGAGAGAAAAGGGTAGAGAAATCAGGAATTCCTCGTATTGCTCATGGGGAACGTCGATTCTTGCTCGGGTTACTCCCACCACGCAGTGCTAAACATTTTGCCACATAATACCCCATGAACTCACGGATGGTGTCCAACGGGAGGACGAGGCAAGAGCGACGGTATCACAAACAAAGGAACAGGTTTTAAAGTACTATCATCCAACCCCCCACCCCTTTGTGTCAGCCAAGTCGTGGACTGTGCCCGACTCCAGAGCAAGCGTTCAAACGATCAAGCCGTAGCTGATTTTGACCGAGTAAAAGACCCTGAGTATTTTTTGTATCATCGCATTGGGGAAACTGCATTATACGTCCAGTAACAGACAAGCAGCTTGTTAGGGAAAGAGGAGGCCTTCGTAAGTATCTGGATTCCCCCATACAGAGAGGAGGTTTCTACCCCCCCCCCCCCCAGTATTAGCCCCCGTTCCACGGAATCGACTAGAGAGGAAGAGAGATTGCCCCATAAAACCGCAAGAAGAATGGCTGCACTAGCCTTTTGGTACGGCCCCGCTTCTTACCATAGGCAGCACGAAGCCTTGGTTGTAATCCGTGTGCTCTCCGATCAAATTGACTCTTCCCGGCGCCGACACAGCGATCTTGGGATCCGCCCCTCCGAAAGTCTTTTTATACACACTCCGGGCGGCCGCCAACAGCGATGCAAGGTCGGAATCGTTCGGCCTTTCCATGGTTCTGATCTTTGGGTTGCAGCAATGGCTGCAGCTGGAGCCAAGCTGCACGCGAAGAGAGCAAAAGCGCGGATGCCTCTCTTTCCTAAAGAGTTGCGAAAAGCCGCAGCGCCGCGCACTCGCATATCCGCTTTCCGACGCGGCTCTTCCCCGCGGCGCCCACCACGGGCCGGCCTCTTCCTGAGCCCTGGGAGGGCGGAGCCGCTGCCCAGCCCGTAAGCGCGGCACGTGGCCTCTAGGGGTCGCTGGCCGCGCTTCGGCCTGCGGCTCAGCGGGCCCGGCGTTCGTGGTCTCGCTTTCGTACTGTCCCGTCGCGGAAGGTGCTTGGGCTGCAACTGCCGTGATCACCCCTGACCGTCGACCATGCTGGCTGGGGCTGAGATTTCTCCCCATCCTGAACACGCTGCAGTATTTTAACCATGCTAGGAAGCGTCCTTTCTCCAACCCTAACCCTAAGCTGGGCATTTTCCTAAAACTAAATCAGGCTGAAATATCCTTGTCCCAGTAATGATTTTCAAAATGTCCACATCCTGGAGATTTTTCGGCACAGCTCGTTCTTTCTCGCCCTCCTGAGCACACTGCAAGCATTTTAACCATGCTGGGAAGGGTCTTTTTCAAACCCTAACCCTAAGCTGGGCCTTTTCCAACCCTAAAATAAGGCTGAAATAACCCTGTCCCAGTAGGGATTTTCAAAATGTCGAACTCCGGAAGATTTCTCGGCACAGTTCGTTCTTTCTCGCCCTCTTGCAACGGCCACTTTTCTCTCGGGAAGCGGCTCTGCCAGAGACGCATTCCCCAACCAAGCAGAGAGCCTTGCTCAACTTGTCCCTAAACAGCACCGTTCTAGCTTAGCAGCCTGAGGAGATTTTCAGCAAAGCAGAGAAAGGGAGACTCCACAATGTCGTTGCATGGCTGGCATTACCTGAATCGGGGTAACAACCTCATTCAGGCAGAGGGCCAAATGCAGTTTTGGGGAGGCTGCCTGGGAGGTGCCTTTGGGGGGTAGGCACAGCCAAGGGCAAGGGGCAAGGCCAGCATCCAAAAACTGCTGGCAGACTCTAGTTCTTACTCCCAGTACCTGAGCCTCTGGGGAGGCATTTCAACCTTTGCAAATGGGCAGCGGGGGGGGGGGGGGGGAATGGACCTGAAGCCAACCACTGATGAGTAACCATTGGAAAGGGGTTGGGCACAGCCATACTGGGGATCCCAAGTGCCAGGCTGACCTTTCCAGTGTGTGAAGGGCTTTATAGGTCAAGATGAGCACTGTGAATTGGGCTTGCAAGCATCTAGACAGCGTATGCAAGCAGGCCAGAAATGTTATACTTTCAGATCATTTGTTCCCTCTTTTCTGCACCAGCTACTGCTTCTGAACTGTCTTCAAGGGCAGCCCCACACAGAATGCATTGCAGTAATCTAGCTTCAAGATTTCCAGATCACAGAAGATCAATAGCGAGCTATCACTGTCTGGATATGGCCATGGCTGAAACACCAACTGAAGCTGCTAGACAGCACTCCAAGCCACTGATGCCACCTGAACCTACAGTGAGAAAGATGGTCGGGGAACAGCATCAAAAGCCTGCCCCTTCAAGGGGAGAGCAACCCTTCTAGAACAGGTTGACGTCCCTTAGAGAAACCACCCGTTGAGAATGTCTCCGTCTACTCAAGACTGAGCTTCAGTTTGTTAGCCTCCATCTAGTCTACTGTCTCAGCGAGGTGCCATTTTAGTACATTCTAAGCCTCATCTGCTGAAGAGGAAAAGGAGAAGTAGAACTGTGTGTCATCAGCATATTGAGGGCAACATGCTCCAAACCCCCTGATGACCCCACTCAGCGATTTCATGCAGATGTAGAATGACATCGGGGCAAGGTGTCCCCTGAGGAACCAGATGGTCCCCCCAGCCCCACCTCCTGCCGCCTGCTTTCCAAGTTGGAGTGGAATCACTGCAAGGCAGTGCGCCTCGCTCCCGGCGTCAGACGGCTGGCCCAGAAGGACACCTTGTTGATGGCATCAAAAACTGTGGAGGAGCACCAATACTATAATGCCCTTGAAGGCAATTCCAATTTAAAGAAATAAAAGTTAAAAATATTTTCCACACAGTCTGACAGTGAGCAGAACATGTGCTGAGCTTCTCTTTGGAAAAGTGGATCCAACTTGCCCATGAGGAAGAGCTATAGCCCTCCAATCACATGGCCATTTGTGTATCTCTGAGGCCTCATCTTTTTAATTCCTGATTTGGTGTCATCACATCTTTCCTCTGTTGTAACAAAAATCAGAGCATCTTGGATGGCAGGGAGACAGGCCTGGGTTCCTCTCTTCAAAGAAATCATTCTTTATCTACCTCATCTAAAGGTAATTTCAATGGCTTTATTTTTCTCATTGACCATTAGATAGCTTGGAAAACCCAAGTTCCCTTTTAATCTCTTTATTTCAGTCCTCTGACCAGCTAATCTCCATGCTCCATTCCATTCCGAGCAGTCTTTGGATGAAACACTTTTATCTTCACAAGGAACAAACTGAAGGGATCATAAAAAGGGGGGGAAGTCAGCAAGAGGCACATGTTCTGCATACTTTCCATAGTGCCTTTGACCCAGTGCTGTGAGGACACCTCAGGGATGAGAAAGCTCCACTACAAGGCTGGCTTAGAGAGTTCCAGACTGAATTCTGGAAAAGAACCTGCAAGGGCTCCTTGATGAGAAGATTCATAAGGTCTGGCAGACGTGCTCCCAGCCAAGACAACAGGCACCTTAAACCAGTTTGATTCCTGCAGCCTGCCACAATCTGGAGGCCTCCAGAAGTCTTAGGCTACAGCACCAGCTGACCCTGGCCATACACCTGGAGGGCATTGCACCACAGCGGCTGCTCTGCTTTCTTCCAGTCTCTTCCCATTCGCTGCTTGCTAGTTGGGCAGGCCCCCTGAGGCCATTTTGCAAAAGATGGGGGCACTCTCAGTAGCGACAAGAATGCTGTGCGGCCCCGGAGCTGTGTTCCCTTCTCCTTGCACAAATGCTACGGGCTCTCTGATGGAGCTTAGTGGCAACAACTCCCTCCACAGCCTTTCCATGGCCCCTTTTAGAAGTTTCAGCAGGAATCCATTCCCAGGAACCTGCACTGTGAGACTGTGATCCTGTTTCTGGGAATCCATCCATTATTCCCTTGGATGCCTGTGCAGGCAGGTGACAATCATGTTTCAAATGTGAGCTGGCATCTACTGCCACTTTTCCAGAACCCACAGCTGGGGTGAAGAGCCCTTCTTTATAGCATGGACCCCTGGCACTGGAAGGGGTCCCACAAGCTCCTCCGAATGCTGCCACACGTGGAAAGGAAAGAGCCAAGAGCAGAATGGGCAGGGCCGAACAACCAAAATGTATCAGAACCGTGTAGCTTAACTGTCTTTCAGCTGGGAACTAAGCCTTGGGAGAAGAGTCTTGGCCAGCTCAAAGTGTGTGTGTCGGGGGGACGGGACCAGAAGCCAGTCACAGAAGCCAGGGGACCACCTAAGGAGCAGTGGCAGGGAGACATGAGAGGAAGGCTTCTGGGAAGCCACAGGGTCCGGACTGGAACACAGGGAGGAGCAGAAGAAAAGCCGTGTCTTCTCTCCTTCTGGGAGGTGGTGCAAGCTGGATCTAGACAGGGAAGCCGCCAAATCAGGAATCGTGGCTCTGCTGTCTGGAGATCTGGTAGGGCTCTGCTGGCAGCAGCTGACCGCCTTGGGAAGTGTTTTTGTGATGGGGGCAGGGAGAGAGACTGCTGGCTGTGGAAAAGGGGCAGATGCTTTTGCGAGGCTGCAGCAGGGCAAGTCCTATCAGTCCCCAAAGTTACACGTGTGATTTCTCCATGAGTTCAACAAAACTCAGAAGTGCCTGCTGAGTTTCCTCTGGTGCACATACTAAATTTGCACCAATTTACTGTGAGTACATTGGGAAGCGGATCTGCACCAATGTGGGAACAACACCGAGTTTCGGAAAGGAGAATGGTTTCCAAAGAAAAGCCACCAAGCGTTGCAGCACTGGATGGGATGGAAAACTGTGCAGACGTCAAGGAAAATCAGAAGCTAGCCTTGCTGTGCTGAGCCAGTATGGATCCCAGGGACCGGCAGCAACGGCCCTCTGGAGTGCAAGCGGATGCCTTTTCAGCCCTACAGGAGATGCCACAGGGATCAAGGATGGGGCTCTGCCCACTGGGCTACGACCCCCTCCAGAAGCTGACTTGCAAAGCCCGAGCACTGGACTTGGAGCAGCCTTCTCAGCTCACCTGCAGTTTTTTCCTGTACATCGTGGAGGACTGTGGAACACCGGCCAATGGACACGTGCTCTACGGCTGCCAATAGCAGGGAAGACTAGGAGGTTCTCAGGCATTTGGCTGGTTTGCCCAAACCACGCTCAGCAGCTGAGCCACAGTGGGCTGCGACATGCGTGTGTGTGCCTGACCGTGGGGAATATTCAATGCCTGGCCACAGCTTGCTGTGTCACGCAAACCTGGGGACTGTGGCGCATTTGAGGGTTATGTATGCTCTGTTCCAGGCTTATGCACAGGTTGTTTAATCCTCGCATAACCTGTCGTCCCCAGGTTCACATAACATGGCGTAACAAGCCACAGAGGGCTGTTTTGATGTAGATGATGACCCCAAATTGGCATGCATCAAGGTATCCGTCCCCACTCCCGGTGGTCCCAATCTGAATGGGAGGGTGGGCTGCACCAGCTGCTATCTGCCATTTGCACTGACACAATTTGCCTTTCCATGTTTTTCCCTTTAAGGAAGTATTTTCATCATTCTTGTCTATCGAAGTAGTAGATGTTAAGGAGCCTTCCCCAACCAGGCCCCATCCAGCTGTGATGGATTGCAACATCTAGCATCCCCAAGCAAGCATGCTGGGAAAGCTGATTTAGAGCATCCCGACAAAGAAAGTGAAAAGCATGGCCAGTTAGTTGAGTGTAGGGCTTCCTTATGGAGCTGGGATCCTCAGGCACTCCTTGAGCGTGGAAATGCCAGGTAAAATCCCTTTCTAAAGAATCATAAACAAAGAATACTTTAAAAACATTTATATGTATCAAATTTTCCCCAAGCAGGTCTGAAAGGGGCTC